GTATAGTGGTAATGCCAGAAAGAAACATTATTGTAGAAATTACGGTAGCAGTGTCCCTCTGTCATCAGCGATTAAAGTAAAAATAAAATGAATAGATAAGAATATGAAAAACTATCAAGTTTCTTAGAGTAACACGCAGTAAACAGTAAATAATAGTTTATACTTACATCAGTTCCACCCATGACCGGTACCATAACTAATGGAATCAATACAAGAGAACCAGCCAATGATAGATAGTGCTGCAGGCCATAATAGATAAGAGGTACTGCAATTAAAATGCAAAGACGTAAGTAAATACAAAGTAATGATTTTTTTGGGCAGTCACAGCGATATGACTATACAGGTTAATCTTGCTACTATTGAGATAATAATTAGATGAGATGGAAGAAAAAACAGGGAAAATGGGTTCTTTCAGAAAGTCCTTTAATTTTGTCATTAATATCTCACCCATGTTGAAGGAATTCAAAGATTGGTATTCTTAAATGATATTTGTCTAGATCCTTTTTTCACTTCTTCTGACCCTATTTGGAAAGGAATCAAGGGGTTGATCTTGCAAGTAGAATGGAACGTGATGGTTGCAGACAAGCATCCAACTTAACAAGGCCCAGGTAGGGTTGGAGTTATTTGGAGTTGGAGGTTTAATTCCATAAAAAGGCATGAATGGTGGCTGATGCTGAAAGGGGGATTGTTGGTTGCGCCAGTATCTGCCTTGATCAGAGATTGAACCATCGTGGTCATTGATGGGATTAAGTGGAAAGAGTTGCAATCTAACTAACCACCACCATAACTTTCGGCTTGGTTGTAAGCACCCAATCTTTCAGAAACTGAAGACTGATAAAAGATCATGCTTATTAGGGGAAGGCATGAATGAGATTTTCCATCAGTTCTATGAATTCTTGTAAATTATAGACATCTCTTCTCTCTCTGTCTTTCCTAATTTTGCTCACATTCATATTTTCTTTCTCCTCTATGGAAATGATTCACAATCAATCACGTAACAGAAATTAGCAACCAGAGTGTTGATGCCATTCACACCAAAATCCCAATAGCACTCTCTGATGGTACACATGACTACAGACAAACTTATGCAGGTATAAATGAACTTATTGACAAGCTTCAGAACATCCAAACATGGGAAGTTAGCAACAAACCACTCATCACATTACTGAACTTACATCATTACAGTTCAAAAATTATAAGATAAAAAAGAGACACCCTATAGACATGAATATTTCCACACACATTCAAATAAACCAGAAAATATTCCAAACCATCCAAAACTGGCATCTTCAAACATAGACACATGAAAACTAAAGAAATCAAGGGTGAAAAAGAATCTACAACCGACAGAAGGAAAAAAAAAAAAAAAAAAACTAACCAATCCCCGGATTCTCTTTGAGCCTGCACTTCAATCCCAACGGTCCCTGCCACCCTCCGTCACCATGCTCCTCCCCTTCCGGAAACACATTGACCTTAACATCCCCATTTCCCTCCTCCCCCTCCGCCTCCTTTTCCTCGTTCACAGGAGCAACTGCAGAGACTCCATGCCCATTCCCCTCCCTATTTATCACCCCATTATTGACATTACCATTCAAACTAACTTTCCTCTCACCGGTATCACGTTCCTTCTCTTTTCTCCCCCTCTCATCCAAAACAGCACCATTCTCAGACTTCGTGGCACCTCCATGAAACTCTGGTTCGATCTCGTTTTGTCTAGTCCTTCCCAACACCGGATCTATCTCTATCTTGGGAGATGACCCTCCTCCCTTTCTACCAAAAGCTTCAAATTTTGCACTCCCACTTGTCCCTGCTTCCCCTGAGTAATCAGACACAAAACCCGTTCTTTTCGCCCACGACCGTAACTCTCTCGGATTGTGCTCACTTTGTCGTGGTACAAAAGGTTCCACTTTGCCTGCTACTCCACCTTGTTTCTTCCCAGTGCCACCCCTCACACTCATAGCCACGTTTCTGTTCAATGCTTCTGAGTTCGACGACCCAGTTTCCATTGACACCTAATGGCACGGATGAACTGTACCCAATTTAGTATAAATCACAAAGATGAGATTGCAGAAGCGCAATGGAACCAAAATGGTGTGAAAACGAAGAAGAGAGAGTTCAGTGTGTAACAGTAGAAAGCGACGGTGGAACGAAGGAGGGAGTGGAATTACCGAAACGTCCCTATGGCATTACCGTTGATAAAACAAGTATTAAATGTAGTAGCCGAGTGAGAATTGTATTCTATATCTCTTAGTTTTGGGGTCATTGAAAGAGAGAAATTCAGATTTAATGAAAGTGCCTCCTCATTCTTTATTGGGTGGGAAGGATGAGATTTACCATGTTTGGCTCTTGGCTTAGGCTTCAAGTAATCTTCATCTGCTGTGACCAATTGCAAGCTCCTGGAGTGGGGTGCAATGGATGAGTTCAATTGACCATGGCCAGACCCCATTCGGTCCAATATCAAGTTTACCCATCATAATAACAATGTTAATAAAAATAATAATTATGATAATTATAGTATTATCGTAATATTTTTCTTTAATTTATTTATTATTTTTAAAGTTATGATTCTAATCATCCTTATTATAATCGTTATTTGTAATTATTATTATTACTATTATTATTATTAATAAAAAATTATTAAAAGTTAAAAATCAATTTTATAAAATATTTTTTTTAACTTTGAAAAAAACTAGTTTCTTATATAAGATTTTAAGTGTAGTATTAGAGTTTTGAATATCAATAAAATATAATTAAAATAACATGATGAAAACATCAAATAGATTGTATTTTGATACTAATTTAATTTTATAAAATTTATATCCAACTCAATTGAACAATTGCTTTCATAATAATAACTCACATGCACACGTGGATTACATAAAACACAACGCATGAAGACCTATACAAAAGAATACATGCATGTAAAAACTTATAACAATGTTTGAGTGGCTACATTATTAAGTAAAAAAGAGTTGTTATTATAAGTTATTATTTTTGTCCTACTATAGTAAGAGTTCGATCTAAGTAGTTACAATTCAATTACAATATCTGTGCTTCTATGTGTTTAACCATAAGTGATAAATTTTTATTTAATGTTATGCCTTTGATTTAATATATACTACACACCATATGAGAATACAATCACAAGATCAAAAGATATGTAGAAAGAGATTATCTTATGGTAAATATTTGACAGATTATTCATCAAATGAATATTTTTTGGTAAGTTTCATATAATTCTTAAATATAAGATCTATTTTACCTGGAAAAACAAATTTACAATTGTTTGGTAAAGCTTAAAGAAAAATATTTAACTATATAAAAATATTAATTTTTTAAAAGTATTATTTATAATTATCTTGATTGCTGAAAAAATATTTTCGAAGTTACAATTATATTTTAGATCAACTATGCTATAAGATACGTTGAAGAAGCCATATATATATATATATATATATATATATATATATATATATATATATATATATATATATATATTATTTTGAGAGTGAAATGTTATAATAATTTTATTATAAAACTTTCATAAATAATTATGCAACTCAAAAGCTAAAATGTAACGTAAAAATTGTTAGTCTATATTAACATGGGACCTTGTCTTAAATTTTGCTTAAGACCCCAAAATTGCTAGATGCAATTTGCCATGTTTAATATTGCGTTCGTTCAGATGAAAAATTTATAATCAAATAATTTATTTTAATAGAGTATTTAAGATGTTTTATGATAAAATTGGGATAAAGCGTCAGAAATAATTAGAATTATAAAAATTAATGAGACTAATTACTCAAAATGTTATTTTTAAAATAAGAATTTAAATTTTATATTTTTTATTTCTTAAAATTATGTTTTTTTATTAAAAAAAAATAATTCATCTTGATTTATTTTAATACGATACGATCAATATAAACTAATCTAAATCTGACATGTTTTTATTTAGTTCAAATTAATCTCACATAGTCCGATAATCATTGAATTATCTAATTTGATCAGTGTTAATCTACTTCATTCTACATTAACTTGATCAAAATAAATTTTATATAATCCAACTAGATCTGTTACTTAATTCAATAATTTATAATTAAATTATTTCTAACTAGTTAATTAGACTCATCCCAATCTAATATATCTTGATTTGATTCTTTCTAACTTAATATACTTTGATTTTGCAAATCCAAATTATTTAATTTTAGTTTGTCTTATTTACTTACTAATTGATCAATATGAACATAATTCAAATAAACATAATTTAAATTTCCTAATTTAGCTTAAGTCATAACACAACTTGATTACTCTCAACATATATTAATCTCAATATATATTTATTAAGTATAATTTATTGATTAAATCTTAATCGTATAAATAAGTGACCATTATTATGTATTGAACCTAATTTATATAATTTTAATAATTTTTATATTTGACAATAATTAAAATACTTTATAAAAAAATTGAATTATCGTGTTTAAATAAATAATTTTTTTTTTAATTCTTAAAAATTATAATTTTTTTATTCAAACTGAACATTAAAAATGCTATGAATATGCTATCCACATGGAAGAGAATGTCTCACGTGCATTTTAGATGCAATGAGACCTTCTCTAAGAGAGTGTAAAAATGAGAGAAGACTACTACTAAAAAAATTACAAATTAAAACTATAATTATTATTAATATATTTTTTAATCTAGAACTTATCATCAGGCTCCTAATTATATATTCCATTCACCTAATTTATCTTAACATCATGTGTACAAATAGTACCTAATTTATTAATAAAGTAATTTAAGAAAACAATCATAAATAAGCAGCAAAATCTTATTATTACCATATTTTTCCATTTCAGAAAACAAACACATAAAATACAGTAGAGCGTAATTTTTGATTCATGCCTGGTAGAACCTGGAAGGTTCAACAAGGAGGGTTTATGAAAGGGTGTTCCGCGAACACTGGAGAAGTTATCGGAGTGAGCAACTGAGCACGAGCAATGGAGATTCCTTCTTCCTCCATCTTCTCCCCCCGCCCCTCTGACGACACCGTTTTCTACGCCATATACCCCGACTTCCCCACCGCCACTACCACCGCTACGCTCCATTCTCTCCACCTCCAAATCCTCCAAACAATATCCCCCTTTACCGATGACTACATATGGCAGCACCAACCCTTCACACTCTCCGTTTCCACTCCCCCCAACCCCTCCTGCCCCTGCTCCTCCTCCTCCCACCTTCCCCACCTCCACGGCCACCTCCGCTTCGGCGACAACCTCGACGACGAGTGGTTCGCCGTCTTTCTCCTCTTCCAAATCTCCCTTCGCTTCCCCTCCCTCTCCCTCCGCGTCTGGGACTCTGACGGCGACTTCCTGCTCATCGAGGCTGCTTTCCACCTCCCCCGCTGGCTCAACCCCGACACCTCCCACCATCGCCTATTCCTCCGCCACGGAAACCTACATATCGTCCCCCGCGAACGCCTCCCCCAACCTTCCCTCCTTGACTCCCTTGCCTTCGTCGCCAATTCCGGCCACGAATCCCTCGCCTCTGACGCAATCCAGCGCTCCGTGAAGAAACGTATCGAGGACTACCCCGAGCGCGCCAGGAGGAACATGCACAGGGTAAGGGTTAGGGTTCCGGTGGCCGTGGCGCAGGTCCTGAAGCACGAGCCGCGGTTGATTTCTCTCGCGGTGGAGGGGTTCTACGACAGGGATGTAGACACGATGAAATTCGCCGCCAGGATGGAGAGGTTCGCGGAGAGAGGGACAACGGAGGAGTTGGTCTGCATTTCGGTGAAGATGTCGAGGGCGATGTACGCGCAGTTGGTGCAGCAGCGGTTTCAGGCTCCGAAGTGTTACCCGGCGATGCCGGGTCGGGTTGAGAGGGAGGAGTTTGTGGAGGCAGAGCTGGGGATGAAGATAGCATGTGGGTTGGAGATGATGTATCAGCAGCGAAAGCGTGATGGGGTGGATGGCAAAGGGAGCACTTGGGAGGCGTTTAGGAAGAGCTTGGAGAACAGTGGTTACTTCCAAGGGCTGCTTCCTGGTTCCGCTGAGTATCAGAGATTGATGCAGAGTGCTCAAGAGTATTATAGGAACACTTTTCTGCATTCCCAGACCAGGTTGGAATTGGGATTAGGCTATTGATTTTTATTTGAATTAAGTCTTGTTTTTGTGTTGGATGGGTATTGGCCTTTTGGTTGTGTATGTTTTGCTTAGCTTCCTAGTTTATCTTGCTTTTCTTATATAGTCATTGATTAGATCATGCATTGATTATAGATATGACTGAAGTGTAACTTATAAAGGCTTGGACAATCCGTATCTCATGAGCTTGCTTTTAGGGTATTGTTAGACCAAGCCCAAAATCAAGATGACATCGGTCAATCATATTAGGGTTCCCTAAATTGTCCCAATGAAAACCCTACCTAGTCCTGCGGCCTGTCGTTAGATCTCCATACATCCAGACGTCTAATCTTGGACTTGAAGGTGGGGGGCTAGGGGTCTCACTTTGGTTGGATGGATGGATGAGGGCTATTTGTTGACAATGATTATATGGGACATTGGGGACTTGGTCTACTTAGGTTCTGATGTAGTTATGTTGTTTGAGTTAACTCCAGGTTTTTTTTTTTTGTTGTTTTTATCTTTGCTAAAGTGAAAATTTGTTGCAGTGAGTTGATGAATGCTCCTGTTAGACGCATAGATGAAATTCTGGCTCTGCCTCACTCAGTTGACTATTTTAAGGATCAGGAGCTTCCTCCATCTGATGATGATTCCTGGCTTTATGATGGAGAGGAAGAGTTGAACTCTGTTCTTATCGAAAGACAAAAGGAGATGGAATTATATGACTTAAAACACAAAAAGAAAGGGAAAACAAAAGAGGATCAAGATAATGGTCCGTCATCTGCTTTGAAAGCTGACGAATTTGATCCTGGTGATATAGCAAAGACCATGCAGGCATTTGTCCATAAGTTGTCAAGTTACAAGGGTGCTGAAGCTCCTGAAGACAGGTTGGTTTAGTGATGCACATACTCATTTAGCATACCTGACATGCATGCTTAAATCACTTATTCTGTAGGCATCTTTATTTACAGGGAAAGCGTTAGGGGTATTAACATGATTTCTTTCTCATGATGTTTGGCTACCGACATAAATTCAGTATAATAAATCCCCCCCGGAAACAGGTCTAAGTCTAACACGCCTGCCTAATAATTAAAACTGGTATTCCTATAAGTCAAATGTGGTTCTGGTTGGACAAGCGTGCTTTTAAATTCAAAATTAGCTGTTGTGGGCTTAGTCCTAATCTAAAAATCAAAACTACGAACACTAGTTTTTGTAAAGTTGAAACCAGCTCAGATTTTAACTATTTTTATAAAAATTTCTTACGTTCGAACCATAATAACCTTAATTAATAAAGTATTGAATTACATAATAACATGTTTTATTTAGTATATGGTTTTTCTTGCCACTGGTTAATTTTTCTGGATGCTGTCATAATAGTGTACCTTTCTTATTTAGCTGTGATACTTTATCATGTAATACTATCTCTGTATCTGGGCTTTGTGATTTAAAGGAATAAGGAAGTGGACCTTGACGTGGACCAGTTTATTAAAGACATGGAATCAATAATGAAGCATTCAGACAGTGAAGTTCCCAACAGTAATATTGAAGAAGGATCATCGTCTGATCCAGACTTTGGTGAGATCGCATGTCTAAGTTTACTGTGTAGGCATTAATTATTTTGTTGAATAGATTCTCTCTTTAGTTGTTGTGTAAAGCTTTTTTTACTTTCATTTAGTTTTTGCTAGTGGATTATTTTGCAAACGAGTTATTTTACACCATTACATTATACAAGTTTTTGAGATGTCATGCATGTAAGCCATTTCAATTCACATCTTGTAGGTGTGAACTTTTGGCTATCTGTTTTGCACATTCTCCAAATTTCTTTCTCTGTTATGACTGTAGCATGCATAGTTCTAGTAGAATGAAGGTAGGAGTTCCTCTAATTTCTTTTCAAATTTCAACTTTCCTGTCAATGATTTGGATTAGGTGCTAGCGCATTGTGTTTTTGATGATAGTACATGTTAAGATTTTGAATTTTTTTCTCGACAAATGGTAGTAAAATGTTCATCTCCCAATACACCATTATCCAACTGAAAAATGTTATTCAACTGAAGAATGTCTAAGTCTTGGTGTTGTACTTGGGAATTGGGATGAATGGATATTGAAAGTTTACGCTGTTTAATGTTTTCCCTCTTTCTTTAATAATAAATAGAAAGAAATTGTTGAATATGTCTTCAAATATGTTTAATGTACAAGAACACTGTTTGTTGAAGTTTGCAATCTTTCTTCAAATTTGGTGCTATCCGATGGAAATTAGATCAATTCCCATAGGATCCGTTTGGTAGAGAAGAGAGAAATGGAGTGGATAAAATCATATAAATTAAAAAGCAAGCAAAAATAGGTTAAAAATAAAGTAGAAATTAAAGGTGTTTGGTTGAAGACCAGTATAAAAGAAATGAGGGAAGATATAGAGAAATGAGTGGAAGTAGATTAGAAAAAAATTATTGGTGAGACCCACTCACGTTTTAATTCTCTCTTTCTTATCTCTATTACCAAACACACCCATTTAGTTCTATTACTCCCCCATCCCATTCAACAAAATAGCTCATTAATTGTTAGGAATATGGGTACCTGGATTTTAGTATGGATAATGAATTAATTCCTGGAATTCAACCAAATAGCAGATCACTTGACCCGTCAATTTGTATGTCTTCTTCCTTGGTATCATTTGGGGGCTCTTATATTTTTATTGATTATATAGATGATTCTGAGAGTGATGAGGGTGAACTAGTGGAGGATGATGATGATAATGGAGAGGATACTTTCATGCGGTCCTATTCTGATGCTATGAATGAAGAACTAAAGGCAACCACCCTTCAGAAAAGTTTTGTTCGTGCTAATGGACAGATTCCAAAGGATCAGGTATTTGTTTGCTTTTTCACGAGGAAAGAATATTCTAAATATTAATATGTAATGATGTATATTTATCTAATGTTTGTAAAATCATTGGAACAGTCATTGAACTAATTAAGTTTCAACAATAATATTCATTAACTATAAAGTTCATACCTAGAATAAAAAAGAAAATGTCAAATACTTTAGATTATTTTAATTTTAAGAAAAAATTGTAAACATTTTTCACCGTTCTTCTCTGAGCCATTTTTTCTTCTTGTACTGGATATTACCAATTTTGTATTGGTTTTTACGGTTCAATAACTCGGTTTTTCTAGTGGGATTTTATGGTTTATTTGAATCAAACACTTCATTGGTATACCAGTTCTCTTGTTTGACCTGCTAGTCTTTAATCTTCTAATTCTAGTATCATGTTTATAATTAAAAATAGTCTTTAAAAAGATTAATGGCATATATAACAATTCTTTGAATGATAAATTTACTATCGATAGAAAAGTTTGATAAAATTATAAATAATTTAATTTTAAAAATAATTTAAAATGTTTTCTAACCATGTAATAATTTAAAATATCAATCTTGATAATTACAAATAAATAAACTTTAAATAAAATAGTAAAAAACCAGAATTCATACCTGTTCGTAGCTTTGTTACAAAAACAAGCATAGAAACAAGACAGTAGGGATCAAATATGGACGCTTGCATAATAGATAAGTTTATATTTTCTCAGCAAATTTTCATAACTTGCATTTGAATTCACTTCCAGGGAACGTCAAATGCATCAGAACATATTATGGACGAGGATTTTTCTCCAGTAGATGTGGATGTAAATTTAGTAAAAAGCTTTCTTCATTCCTTTTCTTCCCAACAAGGCCTTCCTGGTCCGGCTTCTAATTTGCTAGGCCTCATGGGGGTGCAGTTACCACAAGATACCAAGAAGGGAAATTAAAAAGATACTGAAGTATTTACTCGGGTTTTTTAAGTTTTGGGATTCTCCAAACAGTCTCTCGATGGCATGTTTCTCAATCTGTTTAGTGGTATCTTTTTTTTTTTTTTTTTTTTTTTAATTGGGTAGGCTCCTGCTTAGCAGTAGCAAAGAGCATATGGGAATGCTTGCTAGTCATGGTGTAACTTAACCGGGTTTTTGCACTTGACTTGCACTTGCCTCCAGAGAAAAGCAAGAGAACGTTCGTCTGTAGCATTTTTATTGGCTGTAGTACAAGTGGCGAGAGAAGTTTAGCAAATTGGGAATTGGCTAACTATGTTATATAGCAAGTCTATTTATGTCAAGTTTTTGTCATCCTCTACTGACAGTTGCTGATTTTTCTTCCTTCTTTTTTGGGTCTCAATTACAGATCTGATATATGGATTTCTACTTTGCTAGCAATAAAAACATCGGTGCAAAACCGAATTACAATCCCTCCTCCCACTCAAATGCTCAAAATACCAATAGAACCAAAATACTATATTTTGTCATACTTCTCACCAACTTCTGATTTATCAACAAGCAAAAAAGAAAATTGAATCTTCCCCTCTAGTAAATAGGGTACTCCCAATAAACTGCAACCTAATATAACCGATAAAATAATTTTCACAAAGATGAAAAATCAAAGCAACACGAGGAAAATATTTTACATATTGTCCTGCTCCTACCGATGTTTCCTATGCATTCCAGGGGTCATACAGGAGAAGATTGATTGTTTCTTTGGTTTACCGCCAAAGATAAATGACCTCAAAGGAACCTTGGCCCTAGTCTCTGATTGTCTTAGCTGGCCATTTTGTTGTCTTTTTGAAGCCGAGAACCCAAATTCATCATTCAACTTCACCAGAGCCTTTTCTACATCTAGCTGGAGAGATGATACAACATCTAAACCCGCTTGAAGTCCATCAGCAACCTTGTTGTTCTCCTGTTTCATGTTCAAAATCTCACCTTGGAACTTGGCAGCTTGGAAGCTTGTGAACCTGAAGTCATCATCTTCAGCACTGGCTTTCAATGCTGCTGTTATCTCCTCTTGGATGCCACACAAAGATGAGAATCGACCTTGTAGTTCTTCCTTCAACAAGGCACCTTTTTCCAGCCAGACTGTTATTTCACTCTGGATCTCTGTTAGGTGTTTGTAAATTGGTTTTGCATCTCCTCTTATAGAATACTTTATGCTACTGCTGCCCTCTGACGACCTTCCTTTTTCCCGAAGTTTTGATAACTCGGTCTGCAAATCTTTGACAGTGGTTTCAAACTTCTGTATATCAGCGTAAGAAGAACTGAATTTTAACCAGAAAGTTAAGTTCTCCTCTAGAATTTCATCCACGTTTGACCTGAACTTCTCTTCAATGGGTGAAGTTGATTCAGGTTCAATTGGCAAAAGTTCCTCAAGGGCTTGCTTTTCTGGTGGCATCACTGAAGTTGGCTCTGCCAACTCTTCATTTCCTTCAAAGCTTCTCTGCAAGAGACCTAGTTTTTGACGCAGAAGTCTTATCTCTTCATCTTTCGTGGCATTAGCTGTCTTCAGTTCTTTTAGCTGCAAAGATGAATCCAAGTCTTGATTTTTCTTCTCCATTTCGGCCAGCCTCTTCTTGACATCTTTATAATTTCGAAGAGTATTTGTATACTCAGTCAACAAAACTTGCTCTCTATCCTGCATTCCATTTGTAAACAAGTGCCGCCAATCAGGTTCATCTTCTTGTACTGTTGCCTGCTCCTTGGGATCAACTTTGAGAACATTCTCCATCTCACATGAACTTGTCTTAGCATCATTTTCTTGCTTTGTCTCTGAACTCTTTGAAGAACTATCTACCTTGTTGCTTGCAAGATGCTTGACTTCCTGATTTTCTGTGATAGTGCTTACATCAACTATTGCCTTTTCATTACCGTTGCCAGGATTTACAGTCTTCTCTTGTTTTTCTAACTCTTTTGGACATTTATTTTCCACAGGAGTTGCTTGTTTCATTTCTAAGAAACTGGTGATCTTAACATCATTTTCCGATGAACCAGTGACATTAGCTTCATTAGGAAATGGTGAACCAGTGACCTCAACCTTTTTATCTGATGTTACATCATTTTCCAATGAACCGGTGATATTAGCTTGATTAGTAAATGGTGAGCCAGTGACCTCAACCTTTTTGTCTGATTTTACATCATTTTTCAATGAACCGGTGACATTATTAGCAAATGGTGAGCCAGTAGCCTCAACCTTTTTGTTTGATGTTACATCATTTTCCAATGAGCTGGTAACATTGGGTTCATTAGCAAATGGTGAGCTAGTGACCGCACGCTTGTTGTCTGATGTTGTATAATCTTTAACAGTACCAGCAGCCTCAAGCTCCTTATTTGTTGCATCATATTCTACCAAACCAGCTGTAGATTTGGATTTTATTTCATCTTGGGTTGATGAATCCTTTTGTGCATCTGATAAATGTGTGGTCTTAGCCTCGTCACCTGGCTGCATATTTTGGACTTTATCAGAGAGATGATCAAGATTAGAATGTGCTTCAATGAATTGGATTTGGAAATTGCTATTCTGATCCTCAACAATTTGATTTAGATCCTGTACTCCATGCATCTTTTCTTCCATTTTTCTCAGTTGGTCATTCAATTTATTTTTGTCCTTGATAAGACTTTCCTTATCTTTTTCCAGAATTCGAATCTGCTCCTGAAGATCATCAGTTTCTGTTCTCAATCTCTTCACCATAGCACTCTGAGACGATACTGCAGTTTCCAAGCTGATCACTTTGTTCACTAGCTCATCAATCTTCTCTGCCATCTCTGTAACGCTGAGTGATGAATTGGAGCTAGTCTCAAACTGCTCTTTAATGTTCTCCTTTAATAATTGCAACTCCTGTCTCTTCTGAGTCAATCCATCCGCATTTTCTTCAGACTCTGTTTCTGCTATTTTATTAAAATCTCTTTGGACTTTTGGCTTTTTGGAATTGTTCCGATCATAATGGAATTCGTCCATTAGAGAGTCCAACTTGGCCTTGACATCCTTTACCCTTTTGGACTCGATTCTGGTTTCATCAAGTGATCTGTCTTGTTTCTCTTGCAACTGTGTCAATGCCTCTTGGCATGATTTAAGAGCAGTTCCCGCCATTAATCGGCGAGCTTCATCATCTTCAATATGCACACCTTCTCCAAATTCTTCTTGCAGAATCGAAACTCTCTCTTGCAATTCCTTTATTTGCTTCTCAGTGTCCCAGTACCTACCCATTGCATTCTCACAAGAGTTCTTTACAAATTCTTTCACAGTTTGTAGGGCCAGAATCTCTTTCTGCAGCTTGTCAACCTCTTCAAGTGCCTCTTTTCTGGTCAAACCAGATTTGGGAAATTTTGGACCAGCAGAGGCTGCTGCAGCAGCAGCTTTCTTCTTGGACTGAAATTTCTTTGTGGCGGTTGCTGTTGTTATGACACTTTTTAAATCTTTAAGGGGAGGATTTGGAATTTTTTTTAACCCTTCCGGTTTTTTTCTTGGAGGCCTTTGTGATGCATCATCGTCATCTTCATCCATAAGTGGGACACGATCTGGAAAGACAGAAGCAATGGTGTTGTTGGCATTTTGCAACTCTGTTGATATGTGATCATATCGTTCGGCTAAAGCCCGGTAAGCCTTGAAGGATTCCTCCACAAAGTTTATCAGTTCTGGTCTCCTTTTGTAATACATCTCTGCTCTCTTGGCAAAAGAGTCACCCTCTTCCTGTAAGAGCTTCATAACAGTATGCACTTTTTCCTCCATATCTGCATTTAGGTTTATATATTTTAGATTCTCGGCTAAATCATGTATAAAGAAAGGAAAAGGCACATAAAAGTGAGTTGTGCTGATCTTACACAGGCATCTAGACGTGGCTCAACCAAATTTTTAATTCAGTATTCTAATTAATAATATGTAAACGAGTGTATGTCGTTATAACCACACGTAGGGTATAGTCTATAGGTGTTAACCATCTCCTTAAATTCTAAATTTCCAGGAAATTACTTCAAGAACTTCAAAGGATGCAAACTATACCTAACTTCTCAAAAAAAAAAAATGCTTAATAAGAAAAACGAAGCTGTACAACATAGCATTTTAATCAATGGAGAAAATTCAATTGAAAAAGTGACGAAGGCTCAGATTAGGAAATAAGAGCTGTAGAGAAGCATTTTCAGAATCCATATAAAACAATTAAACCTTGACCTTAAGTAACATCAAATCTTTTTCTTAAACGACTCTCTACTCACGCAATTGAATTTCCTGATTATAGATGAATATATTATATAGATAACACTATTTTCGTGTAAGGCATGTATAATCTAAATGTTTAATTCCATAGTGAAATGAAATTGACCATCGAAAGCTTATAGCCACATTCATATAATCTAACGATGAAAGCAACGCAGGCAAGCTGTACGTTTTCATTGTATGCCATATACAAAAAGTCCATCAGAAAAAGGAGATAAATTGTGGAATTGAATATGAAAAAGAAAACGAAGATAAAGTCATCACCTTGAAGGTTTTGCTCCATCCATTTTGATTGCTTTGTTCTGATGTGGCTAACCCACCACCATGAATAAGCATTGCTTGCCGCTCTCTGCAACATATTGGTTGGTTGTTTCTTCCTCTTCCTCTGTGTTCCTAATTGGTGTATTGAGATCTTAATAACTTGAGAGTCAAAAACATGAAAACCGTGTTTCTTCTATTACTCTATCCGTTTCAGATGGAGAACAGAAGACATGGATTCCATGACAGCAGGGAACTCAGAGAAGAAAGTAGAAAAAAGGATTAAGAAAAAAAAAAAAAAAGATACTGAAAGAGATAGAAAAGAGATCGAGGGAGAGAGAAAACGTGGGAACTAAGATGTTGTGCTAATTATGGGATGATGGAGGGGAGCAAAGTTCGCACGAATTTATTGTCCAAACCTTGCTTTTGAAAAAGCATTGCAAATCAAATGATATAAAGAATCACATAATGCATGCATTCAACGACCCACGTGCCTGTGCCATTATCCAGCTTTGCTTGCTTTATACACCTTTCATCTCTTTCTCTCCACCTCTTTCTGTTAAATTAGTATGTTTTGTTATCAAACTATTAAAAGCAGAATCAAACATCAACCTTTCAAGGAGATTATTGTTGCAAAGATTTAGATAAGTGAGTAATTCTCTCAATGGAACCAAAACTTTCTATTCGTAACATATCCAAAGTGTTCAGAGTAATCCACATACTTGGTCTTATTACTCTTTTAAGTGAAATAATCATTTTTTAAATACATCTAAAAATTTAAACAGCCATTTCATCTTAACATGTACTTACTCTCACAGTAAAGGCAAGGTAAAAAGATAAATAAAAATATAGGGCCTTTAGAGTTTCCAAAACTATTGCATGCATGCCAGAGAAAAACGTACTATTTAAAACAAACTTTACATCTATTTTACCTATGACCAAATGAAATTTTATTAGATTATCTTGTTATTTATCTTTAATACTAATATTTTGTTTACAGCAAATAATCTTTGTTCAACAAGTTTGGTTGTTTAAGCTCTTCTTCGTTGCAATTTGTTTCTGATTCTGAGGCAGTTTTTTTAAAAGGAAACTATTTCTCCTACTAAACTACTATTGTGTTGAATTTTTAATATAAAATTAACACATTATATAAACAGTGTCAAAAACAGAGATCATAGTGAAAACAAAAATGTCTGTCTGTTTTCTAAATTTTATCGCACAAAAAAAGTTGCTTATGAAAGCAAAGCTGTAATGTAAAGGTGGCGGTGGTGTCCGACTTTTGTCGCGGAAAGATGACAACTTTGATCTGAAGAAAATTTAACAAAGCTTGGGAGAGGGTGCCCCGATTAGAAATATAAAATTGCGTGTTTGTGTTATTTTTGGAGGCACGTTGTGTTCAGCACTTCGGCCTGCAATGACGCCATAAATAGCAAAATATTTTGCAATTTAAGAAAGGTCTTTGACTAATATAATACTGTTGTTGTCATTTTTTTTTTTTTTTCTGACTGCAACAAGATTTGCGAACACAAACTAAATCTTTTAGAAAGAGAAATCTTCTCTTTCGCCTTTTACCATTTCCCAAGTTCTTAAAATAGGTTTCATGGTTTTTAAAGTAATTATTTAAGAATAAAACTAAATATAAATTACATATTTTATATATAAAATATGAGATACTTAAAAATAAATTCAAGTTATTTAAATAAATAATTTTCTCTTATTTTAAATAATTAACTCTTTTAGAAATGTTATTATCATTCTATTCCAAAAGTCTAAAAAATTTAGATTAAATAAAAAATTTGTAACAGGGACAATTTTTTATTAAACTTGTTTAGTTTATTATTTAAATAAAGATAGATTACCAATCATTTTATAAAGTATAATGTTTTTTCAAATTATATTACTTTATTAATTTATATATATATATATACATTATAATTTTATATTAAATTATTATATTTAAAATTAAAATTTATTTATAACTTCAATTTTAAAAATATATTTTTATTTTTATTTGAATTATCATTTTTATTTTTATTTTAGAAAATCAAAATAATATGTTGGTTAGTGGGTTTAATATAAAATTATATTGATTTTTTTTTACTTGGATTCAAATGGTTAAGTCGAACACCGTTTTATTAGTCCATCCATTTTGCTCAATGCGACCCAAAATATAAATTTAAAGAAAAATTAATTTCAGTGATTTTTTTCCCTTAAATAAATTCAATATCCTAAAAATATTGTTTTGTCTAAAATTTTGTGTTAAAATATTTATTGGAGTTTAGAATTTATGGTTTAGCTATTGGAAATCAAATTATGATCACCAATATATTTAAAACAAATTAACTGAATTATGATTTTCTTTTCTGAAAGTGTATTCTTAATTTGAAAATAATTTTAAAATATTAAATTAAACTAACTGATATATTATAATAGAATTATATAAAAATATTATTAAATATTAACACTAATTATTTTTTAAAATAATTTAAAATAACAAAAAAATGTTTATTAAATTAAATTAAATTAATATTTGTTAAATATTTAAGTTGTATAAAATAATATTATAATAGCTCTTTTATTATATATTACTTTTATGTTATGATTACGAATGGACAAATATTATAATACATATAGGTAAAATAATTAAAATAAATAAGTAACTATGATAAAAATTAACAATACATTCAGTAAATAATATGAAAATTTTAATATCAACTTAAAACCATGTTAATGCTTAGATAATGATATAAATTGTAATTGATTTAAATATTTAATGTTAAAGGTGAAAACTTTAAATATCAATATTTATTTTTCATGAGTAATGATCATATCAAATTAAATATAAAAAAATATTAAATATTTGAATTAAACAATTAAATGAAAAATACTAACTTTAAATATTAAAGTAAATTAATTTTTATTATAAAAAAACTGTATATATTTTTTATTTAACTATACTGTAATATATTAATCAAATTAATTTAACGTTTAAAAATTGTTTTCTAATTAAAAGTATATAAACCTAAAAGAAATAATCCAGTACTAGGTTCAGAATCCATTACAATTCATTTTTTTTAAGTCAAAAAAATAATCATGTTTATTTTTATAAATGTTTTATAAAAATATTATTATTATTATTATTAAGATTGGGTTTATTTAGAAAATAATAATTTTTTTGCAGGTTTATGTAAAATGAAACGCTCTAATTCTATAAACATAACAAAATAAGTTTTGCTAATGGGTATTATTTTTGGATAAAACAATTGTGAATCCCATAATTGAGTTTGTATATTTGAAATTATATAAAAACTATTATTGATTTTTTTTTAAAAAAGCAAGTGGAAGCTTTTCAAATTCTAAGAAAACACCAAATCTAAAGTGATGTGTTCAGAGACAGAAAGTTTGAGGAAAAATAGATTCCCTTGAATATCGTCAAGAAAATCATATCTCAACAAAGTAAGCAAAATAATTATATAACAAAATTAATGTTATAAAATTAAATAATATTAATTTATTAAGTGGTTAACTTTTTTTATATATTTATATTTTCAAAATTTCAAAAAACAATTTTATCAACACCGATCATATATTTGTTATAATTTTAAATAGTTTCTTTTAGGTTATATAGTTTTTGCATTTTTATATAAACTTGTAAGTAAATTTTTTTAATTGATAATTATAAAATATAAAGAATAACAAAGAAGTGACAATGAACCCATGGTACTTTTTTTTTTAATAAAACTTTTGTGTAAGAGTTTCTTTTTACATATCTTTAGTATCAACCGATTAAAATCATAGATTTATTGTATTTTTATTTACATTTTAGTCTTTATATTAAAAATTTGTAATATTTTGTTGTTTATAGTCTTTATATATGTTTTACTTATTTCATTGTTTATAGTTTAATTAATTGAATTATACTTTGATAGTACCTTTAATAAATATTTTAGGCGTAGGATTCATTGCTGTAAAAAATATTTAAAATTTAAAATTAAATTAAAATTACAAAAATAAAAAATTAAAGATAAAGAAATAATGAGAGATCAAATTATAATTCGTCAAAATTAAGATTTGTAATAAAAGAAAAAATGGATCATGTATATTATGCTCTAGTTTGAAGAATATATATATATATATATATATATATATATATATATATATATATATAAGTTATAATAGAGTGAATTTTAGATTAAAAAAATGTATGTTTTTCATTGTTATTTCATTCATAGTAAAACACAACAAATGTTTTGGCATATTAACAGTCACTGCAGTTTCGAGGTATATCATAGCTTACGCTGTCAATTTAGTCATAAAAATCACATTTAATCAAAGCTTCTATTTTATCTGTTTATTTCTTATATTTTAATTAACTAATTCTCTTGACGATATTTTCAATAAATAATTTGATCTAGAGTTCAATTTCACCAAATATAAAAAGATTTATATATAGGAGTTAAATATTGAATTGAAGTCACAGAATTTCCTGATGCAACAGCCACACATTAAAGGCAATCCACAAAGTTATGGAGGAATGGGCCATTTTATCATTTTATTTTTCTCTATTTTTTTTTTTTTTTAAAACACGGTTCTTCCCTCTGCATCGCACGTTCGTGTGGTCCAATGCAGGAAAACTGCAAATGAATTTATCAAGAACCCATCAAAAATAAAGTTTTTCTTCAAGTACCTATTTCCATTCAGAAGTTTATGGTTATAAACAATCTCTAAATTAACTATATTTAAGAAATTATAATTAGAATATATTTGTTAAAAGTACGAGTGGTCAAGAATATGAATTCCATTGACCCTTTAAAATACAATTGAATACAGTTTTAGGTTACCATAAGCCCAAGTATAAAAATATATAATCCTATCCATAAGTGACTCTGCAATCATCCATTATAACTCCATGTCAACATGAACATCCTCTTTTACTTATTATTATAGTAGTGATTGATTGGCCACATAGAATTTTGTAGATCGCAATTTTCCATTTCAATTTAAGCTTTTACAACAAGAGGAGAAGATGATTCTATATACAAAAAATACATGGTATGGATGGTTTATTTAGCCTCCTCTACTTGGAAAAGGTTGTCAGAAACATAGTCACAGAAGATGTACTTTTTTACGCTTCAAAATTCTGCAGAGAAGCTAGCCAGTGTTCCACGTAGTTTCTGCCTGCTGCAAATTCAAACAGTGTTTCAAAAATCCAATTAGTAGGGTTCTATAATCCCTTCAAAGGCAGGCACAAATATTATAGTACAGATAAATGTATCAACAAATGTCATAAGAATAATCAGTAATGGAAATGAATGTTTTCACTCCATTGATTTCCAACAATATAATTCAATGAAACGACTATCATCATGAGTTACAAGACTAACTTTCCCTAGTTTTGAAAATGGCAGGCTGTTATTTAAACACAATAGTGCCCAACATACAGTTTGGAAAATTCAATCAATTTGATCCATGTGTCCTGGGATAAACGTACATTAACCATATAGATCTAAAACCAGAACCATTATCCATGGACAAAGCAGTTCCCAGATAACATATCTTATTAAGATATCATATACTATATCTTTTAATTTTATTTATTATTGAAAAGGAAGTGATGAATTTACTGAGGTAAAAAGGAAGTGATAGGTTGTTCAACATGGAGTTTAGGACCTTAAATCAGATTGTGAAGTGAAGCTACTTCAGTGCATAACTTTTTATCTCTCAGGATAATAACGAAGTAAAAGTGATTTAACACCTGAGCAAAAATTTCAAACAGTATATGACAGAAAGCAAGACTTTATATTCATAACGAGAGTTTGATTAAAAGAAGAAAGAAATAAAGCAGTATATGACAGAAGAATAAGGAAACCTCATGGAACAGAGAAGATACATCCAAAGAAAATTAGCTCATAACATCAAGGCTACTTTGCAAATCAGACATTAAACCATTACAAGACAAAAGAGGAACAAAAACCCATACAAGATAGAACAAGAAGCCCTAATAATATCCACACTCACAAAAATACAAAAAATAAATTAAAAAAATAAGGCCTCGTAGGCAGTAATACAAAACTATGCATTTGAAGATAATTCTAAGAAAAAGGCAAAACTACTTGGTCTATGTCATGTAATATGTATTTGCCTATTTGTATTTGGATTTAGCGACTTAAAATCTTCGGTTATCATTGCACTCATAATTTCTAGGCAGTACATTAGCATTTGATAATGACAGACACATTTCTTCATTAGCATTAGAATCATCAACAAGGCCAAACCATATGAAAAACTGTTGATTACAGAATAATATGAAAACATAAAAACACCTGAACATGAACAGGATTGTTTGACTTTAATAACCAGTGCTTAAAGAGGCTAATCAACTCAGAGAAAGTTAAACAGTGGTAGGAGCTGAATGAAAACAAAATTGAACATTTCAAGAGATTGTCCTGAATCTCACCAGAAGAAAATTCATTTGGAAGGTTCTTGATGGCACTCAAAAGCTCCTTGCTTGAACTCTCCACCTCCTTCCTGTAGCAAGGAACCAGTACAGCAAAACTATTGTCCAAATCATCATCACTCTGAAGAAATTCAGAGCCATGAGGTTCCAACCACCCAATGGACCAATCTGAGTCATCAGATTCAGAACCTGACAAACTTCCTTCAACATCAGATGACACCAACACAACATCATACTCTCTATCAAGTCTCCTCTCCTCCCTACTCTGCCATTTCCTTTTACCCTTCCTGTGAGAAGGAGCTATCTTTGTTCCCTTCACCGAAGGAAACTTCAGTGTCTCTCTCTCCTTAAAACCCCATTCAGAAGATGAATTCAATGGAGAACCACCAGAAACTGGCTCTTTCTCCTTGCCACCCCACAACCACCATGATAAACGAGTCAAAGAGACAGCCATATTTCGAATTCCAGGGTAAATCAGAGCTAAAGGGTCAGAATGAGGGAAGCTCTTTTCGAGACCAAAGATTTGTGAAAGAATGGGGCCAAAAAATTTGAGAAACCGAATGGCCAGTGGTTCCTGCCTGTTGCAGTAACCACTATATTAGGAAATTATCCATTCATTAACAAAAGGAAATCAATTGGAAAATGGGGAAGGCCACAAGAATAAATTCATCCCAACAAACTCATTAATATAAAAAACGAACAAAAAAAAAAAAAAATCAAAACTTTCTCTTCTTAAAGCACAAGTTCTGATGAACAGATGCACTGAATATTTACTAAGGTTTTCTCAAATATCAAACCCAGTTTAGAAAATTAAAGAACTTAACCTAAAATTACTGACCCATTTCCCATAATTAACTGTCGGCGAAAATTATTTCAGGCGTTTTACACTCCCAGAAAAGCGCAAAATTTTTTTTTTCTAAAAAGATAATTATCCGAATCTCAAAAGAATACTTTTTCTCGTTTTTTATTTATCAAAAAATATCAACACAAAAATCAAACACACACAGTTATACTCGGTCTAAACATCTCAAAATGGAAAAGAACACGAAATCCAGTGGAAATTTTGTGTAAAGACCTTTGCTTTAGGTCAAAATCGAGAATCCCCAAAACTCAATTGACCAAAGAATCACCGAAAAATCCCATACTCCTCGCCGGAAAAACCGAACCTTTCAAACTGCTATCGTACCAGATACAAAAGCAGGCGAGACCGGACTGAGAGTTTTCTCCGGCGAAAGAAAATAACCGGCCACAAAATGCAAAGGTTCAGTGAGTCAACTCGAAACCCTAACTCGACATTAACCCTCTTTCTCTCCTTTTTTTCTCACTAATTGTCTTCCTCCTTCTGCTTCTGGGTGCACTGGGAAGCAACCCCAATCGCTCCAAACCTCGTCTTCATCTGAATTTATAGAGCTATTTTCATATTTTCAATCTTATCACATCAACGAGAAATATTGCATCAGTTATTTTGATTTACGGCCAGATAGAGGATCTTCTCCTCTTACTCTGCACCCTCACTCATCTTACAATAATTCATTCCTGGCCTATAGCGTAAGGTGGTTAAAAATTTAACATGAGTATATATTTTTTAATCAGAAAATATTGGACGTTGATTCAGTGAAAAGAGAGATAACAACCGTCCAAAGTAGCTGACGTGGATAGCCATTACCCTAATCATGGGATGCATGTGCGGTGCAACTTGTAGACACATGTCAGTAGCGTCAACTGAAATAAGTAATATATAACTGATGCTTAAGTTAAATTTTTATAAGTCCTTTTATTTTTTAGCATATATTACGATACTTCAGAAGTAATATTTTTTTAAGTATTTCTATATAGCATAAAAGGAGTTTCAGAAATAAATTTTGTCCATAGCTATTAATTATTACTTCGCAGAAAAGATCTTATTTCGTTGTTTTATATTTTTAAAAAAATGGATTGAATTTAGCATAACTTCTAATTTAACTTAATTAAGTTTAATTTGGTTCAATTTATTTTTTTTACTTAACAATCCAATCTAATTTAACTTCTTCTTTTTTTCAATAAAGGTGGGAAAACACAAATATAATTATATAAAAACTTTTTTTTTCATACCTCTTATATTACTTTAAAAAAAAAAACTTAAAGAATATGAATGTACATTAATTGACGTAGTAGAATTTGCATGATTAATTGGAGAAGAACCAATATGAAGAACAAAAGGGAAATAACATTCCTTTGTAAACTCATAATTGACCATTCATGATAAGCTAAATAGCATCAACATATATAAAAATATTGCTAATGCATTCACTTGTAATTAACATATGTAAGATTAACATATGTTACCCAAGTAATATTTCATTAAAACAAAAAAAAGATTAGAGAAATAGATTTGAGGTTAAAGAAAAAGGCACGCAACACCTTTGGTAATTGACCCACAAGTTTCTACGAAATTGATTGAAAATCAGCCATCATTTTTTGTACGAACAAATTGAAGGTGGGTGTCCATGGAGTAATCAATACTCAAAGAATATGGAATATAGAATATGGGAATTAATTAAGTAATGGAAAAAGGTTTTCATAGGAAAAAGAATGACGAGTATTGATGTAGCAAGAAGGAAAAAAAAAAGTGTATTTTCTCGTTGGATTTTCTTAGAAGGACCTCCATCAATTGACTTTTGCTACATACTTCTCTTCCTTTAAAAGATTTAAATCGTTATCGTTTGGCTAACGTTATTGCCATTCATCATTCCTCATACAATTTAAATCATCGAGTTGCAAGAATTGATGTTTCAATATACTAATTAGGCTTGTTTTATAAAGAGACAATAGTTTTTTATTTCAATGGAATGCAATTGAGACTATCCATTCTTTCTTCTTCTTAAGATATCAAATTTAAACTGAAATATATGTTAACATTCAAAAACTATTTCCAATAGTTTTTTTTTTTAAATAACGTGAATGTCACAAGGTGAATGTTGTTTTTCTATAAATAAAGAGATAATCAATTAAATATTAAAAAAATAATTTTCAGATTAATTAAATTCCTCCAAAAAAGATATCAATATTAAAAATGACTGTTAGAGAAGTTTTGTATTTCGGGTTTCATGTAGAAGATAAAAGTAGTGAGATTTTATATACTGGAGGATTTTTGCTGGAGATGTTGAGTTTAGTCCGAGAGGATAGACTGTTACAAGGGTTTGACCATATAGATGAGAGGAAAACTATGATATCAGAGCCTAATCATTTTCTAAAAAGGGGTATGATAGTTGGGATTATACATAGAAGGCGAGTAAGAGAACCTGTTAGAAATGGATAACCAAACACCAATAGATTCAGTCTCATTTTGTTAAATTCTACTCTTTCTCTTATAAAAAATATTTCTAAAACCCTTTCATCAAAAATAGAAAATCTCATCAAATATTCTTATGTCCCTAAAGATGCTCAAATATATGAAACATATAGTTCGCTCCTACGTCCCTATAATATTTTTAAAAGACAAATATCTATCCTTAAGGCTATCTCTAGACTCATCTTCATAAGAAAATCTCATGTTAATGAATACGTTTAATCCTCTAGAATTGATAAGTGTGCTTTAGCTTTCACTATAGAAAAATAATTAGTCAATATCGAGATCTCTAAAGATCTCATTAGGTATTGACAACATGAAAGATACACTCATCTCCATTATGGAGACTAGTCATCTATCTTCATGGAAGACATAAATTACCTGTTTCAGCCAAAGTTTCTTTTCTAGACTCTAGTTATCTGCACTATGAACATGCTGTAATCGGTACTATGTTAACTACTCTCCATGTCGAAAGTGTAGTCCTAATCATCTTTCCTAACTTCAACATTAGTTTGAAAGATCCTACTATCTCTCAAATATTGAAGGTTCAAATTTAAATTCAGGAGATGGACAATTACATTGAAACAAAAGTCAAACAACAAATGACAGAGAAAGATCCTTATCCATCTCTATTTACTTCAACTCCTACATACTCCTCTTTCTAGAACCGGTTTCCATTCTTTCAACCACCAACACAGTCTTCCTGGTTTTTACCTACAACCATTGCTTATAGACCATGGCTCAAACCAGGAACATCAAAGCCAGACAAAGGCTAAGAAAGAAAGTCAACCCACCTTCTCAAGAATCTTCTCATGAAGTTCAATTCTCACCAAAAAGACAAACTCATAAAGACCCATTTAATCTTGTTTTTCAAGATTCTTAAGATTCGTATTCTCAAATGACTATAGAATCTTGTCCTTATCCAACTCTTAAGAATACTCTTACAATTGTTGAAGGGTATTCCTCTAAAGATTCAGAAACTGAAGTTCCCAATTATGCAAATTTTGTTGTAAAACTTAAATTAGAAAGTTTATCTTTGTTGTTTGGTATTCTTAAAATAGTATTAATGATTTTAGGCATGAGTGATATAACAAAGAAATATGAGTGACAAACCTATTTAATAGGCATCATGATTTATTTTTGGCATATTGAAGAGACAAACATTTTGCATATAAATATTTGTAACAACTCATTTGAAAAAAGAAGAAAGAGAAACATAGAGAGATTAAAAGAAAACAAAGTGATGTCAACTTTTACTTTCTACCTATTTGTTGCTAACAAACTGGTATCAGAGCTTGTGTATGTGAGGTGACTGTGAGAGAACCTACCAAGCCTCAAGAGAGAACGCTGCGGTGTGCGCTGGCCGAGAAAGAGAGAGGAGCAACTAAGAGCTTTGTGAGTGTATGAGTTGAGTGCAAACACTTGAGAAAAATGACAAGTATAACCAATGACATCTCGTTACCCAAGTTGACGAAAGAAGTCAACTATGACAATTGGAAAGTACAAATGAAGACCCTTCTCGACTCCCAAGATAAATGGGATGTGGTCGAGACTGAGTATGAGAAACCGGCAAACACAGATGGATATTCAAATGTCCAACTAAGTGCATTGAAGGTTGTTCGCGCTAAAGACAAGACGACTCTGTATCTGTTATATCGAGTCATCGATGAATCTAGCTTTGAGAAGATAATCAATGCAAAATTTTCTGAAGTAGCATGGGATACACTCGAAAAAGAAAACAAAGGAGATGAACAGGTGAAGCAAGTTCGACTTCAAACCTTTAAGGGCAAGTTGGAAAACATGAGGATGAAAGAGTTTGAAAGCGTATTCGAGTTCATTACTCAGGTGGAGACCATGATGAACAAACTGAATTGGAATGGTGAGAGTCTTTCATCAAACCGAGTTGTTGAAAAGATTTTGAGGTCATTGATGGATGATTTCGAGAATATCGTGTGCACAATAAAGGAGCCTAAGGACCTATCAAAGCTCACCCTTGAAGAGATTGTTGGGTCCTTGGAAGTGCATGAGCAGAGAAGGAAAACCAAGAATGGGGAGTCCCTTGAACAGGCTCTCTAGTCGAAGGTGACAATAAAAGAAGATAATGTGTTCTATGCTTAGAGTACTAGAGGCCGAGGAAGAGGTAGAGACCAAGGTGGTGGAGGAAGAGGAGGACGAGGAAATGAGTAAGTCGGGCAATAGAACTGGCATGACCGAGGTCAGGGTCGGGATGGCCGGACAAACACAAACAATATTGAATGTTATAACTGTGGGAAATATGGGCATGTTGCTAAGGATTGTTACTCGGTAAAATGCTACAACTGTGGAAGGCTGGATCATATTTCCAAATATTGTAGGTTCGAGAAGCAAAAGGAGGAACCAACATACTTCCTTGTCGAGGAAGAAGATGAAGGATTGCTATTGGTGACAAACATTCCAGAAAATGAGATCAAATCGAGTTGCTCTAAAACCTCGATTTGACACTTGGACACCAGCACAAGTAATCACATGTGTGGTGATGAGC